AAAGTTGATAGAGGGATCGTCAGGCTTTCATTTGCATATTTATTTGTGTAATTCTAACCAAAATTGGGTAAGTTACGACAGTTGATCATTTTTCGAAAAAAAGTTTATTTTTTTTACACACCACTGTATATAACTTAAATTAATTTTTATTTTATATATTTATATTATAAATAATAAAAATTAGAAGTATATTCTTTTTAAATTTTATATTATAATATTTTTCTTTTAATATTAGAATTTAATAAGAAATTTATTATCTTATTTTTATATTTTATTTTTTAATATATAAAATTATTAGTAAAGATTTATAAATTTAGATAAATCTTTAAAGTACTATATAAAAATTTTGTAAAATTTAAATAAAAATTTAAAATAGTAAAATATTATTAAATTTATTAATAAACTATATTAAAAATTTAAAATTTTATTAAATTTAAAATAAATTTAAATAATAACCTTAAAATTAATCTATAATAAATAGATTTATAATAATCTTTTAGCTATCAATATATTTTAAAAATTTATATTATAAATAAAAAAACTATTTTAATTATTTTTTTAATAAAGTTTATTATTAGATTCATTTATAAATTATAATAAATAATATATAATTTTTTTATACTTATTTTTTTGATTTTATAAAAATTAATTAGATTTTTTTTATTTTTAAAATTGTTTTTAATAAATAATTTTTATTTAAAATTAATTTTAATAAAATTTATTTTATTAAAAATTTTATAATTAAGTTTAAGATTAAAATTTAGATTAAAAATTAGATTAAAGCATTATTGATTGAATTAAATTAAGATATCTTATTAAATAAAGATTAAAAATTTATTAAATGATAAAAAAGATAATAATTTTATTATATATGAAGTTATAAATGAAAATAATTATCATTATATTATAATAATAGGTGAATATTTTACAGATGATTTACTATTTTATTATATATAACTATTTGAATTTAAATTTTTTTTTTTTATAATTTAATAATTATAATTTTTTAATTTAATTAAAACAATTATTAGATTTATATATTAGAATTAAATAATAAAATATTAAATTTTACAAAAATACTTATTATAATCTATATTTTATAAATAAGATATATATTAATAAAAAGTATATCTACTAACTTTTTTAATAAATTTAATATTTTGCTTCTTAATTTCTAAACTTTTAAATTATATTATATTATATTATAATATAACATTAATAATTAAAATTTTTAATAAAATATCAAAATATATAATATATATTAAAGATTTTATAAATAAAGTTTAAGATTTTTTTATTTATAATTATAATTTATCAATATATATATATATACTTTTTTTTAAAAATTATTATCCACTTAATGGACAATCATTTAAAAAAAGTCGTTTTATATAAATTCTCTCTAAATGTATATTATCTAAATTATAAGATCTTTAATTATTTTTTATTTAAGTATAAAAAGCATATTCTGTTTATTTTATGATTCAAATGTTAAGCATTTTTTTTTTTTTTTTATATACATATCGATTTTTAACAAACTTTTTTTTACACCAATTATTCAAAAATCGGTTCATTACTAAATATAGTTTAATAATGATAACCAATTCAAACTAACATTAAAACTATAATAAAAATGTAATGCAAATTAGAAACAGCTGATACACAGCTGGTGTTACATGATTGAACATAAAATGACTTTTTTTGACAGAATTTTTTTTTTTTTTTTTTGCGCTCTTTCAATTAAAATTTATCCGGCGCAGTTCAAGGAATTTTAATAATGTCGTCGTTTTATTTACCTAACGAATGTATTCAAGATATTTTAAATTATGTAGAAGAAAAAGATAACAAAACATTGCATTCTGCATTACTAGTGAATCGAACATGGTGTCAAAACACAGTTTCGTTTCTTTGGAAGAAACCATTCAGCTCACCACCTGATTCACAGAACAATTATAAGATTATTCCAATTTTAGCGTCATTTATTGATGACGACGAAAAGAAACAATTTAAAATCAAAGAGAAAGAACTTCCTGTACCAAAGAAGACAACATTTGATTATCCTTCATTTATAAAACATTTAGATTTTGTCAATTTGTGGAAACAAGTTTTCAAATGTACAACATCATCACGCAATTCTGATCACATTTCAATGAATGAATTATATCCATCAACTAAATTTACAATGTGTCCAGCAAGTCTTCAAGATGAATTTAAATCTACGCTGCAACAAAAAGCCGAAGTCGTAAAAGCTCTTTATGAAGTGATATTACAACGAAATAGGTTGGAAAGGTTAAGTTTATCGATGAAAGATTGGCATTTTCCAAATTATAATGAGTATATCTTTGATTCTTTGACATCAACGCCTAACGCTCAGAATGCGTTAGCAAGATTAACAAGATTTGATTGTAATTTAGCTGCAACAAATTTCCCAGTTTTATCTAACCTTTCATCAGTCTCAAAAGGGATTAAAACACTTTCCATACAAATCTTTCGACATATATATCGTGATGGTCAACTACCTGAATTATCAAAGCTCATTGAATCACAACATGCCTTGGAACAAATCAATATTTTCAAAGATCATAAATGTAATGATATTTCAATCGATTTATCAGCTCTCGTTTCACAGACTCATTCCCTTAAAAAATTAAAATTACATTATGTTACAATCGATGATGAACAACTTAAACATATCACAAAACTTCAAAAACTTCAGGAATTGATGTTCACTTGTGTTAGGTTGCGTGGTAAGATGACTTTATTGACGAACGCTTGCTTTCCAAATTTAAAAGTACTTCGAATATATAGTACTTTTATTTATAATAATAGTAATATTCATGAGAGGAGTAAATCAGATCAGAAAGAAATAGATCCTTTCGTTGGGTTGATGATGAATAATGGAACGCATTTGAGGGATTTAAGTTTGGAATTTAAATTGGCTTTTCATCCTGAATTATTAAAAAATGTGGCAAAATATTGTGAAAATTTAATCACATTTACCACTTATTATTATGACGTCAGTGACATGTCCGGCATATACGAAGTATTAGAAAAGTGTTCAAAAATTGAATTATTTGGTATTGATGGGTTTGCCAATATGCCTTCTGATACGATTAAAAAATTTTCAAAAAAAGTTCCATCAAATGTTAAAAAATTGGATTTTAGATACGATTGTTTAGATATGGATGCTCTTAAAGTTTTCTTAGAGAGTTACGAAGGTCACGACGTTAGGTATTTAATTTGTAATGTTAAAGGTGACAAGAAGGTATTGAAGGATATGATCGAAGAAATTTCAAAGGGGAAAGGGAGAAACATTAAGACATGCTCTGTTGAACGTGGAAGTTCCGACGAAAAAGTTGTAAACATTGAATGGTGATCCATTTTTTCATTTTGCATCCAAAGATTTATTTATTTATTTAAAACAATTTAGAAGGGTATTTTTATTTTACCATTTTTTTTTTATTTATGTACACGTCATGTATCACTTGTAAAATTTATGGATTTGAAATAAATTTTTTTTTTTTTATTGTAAAGAATATATATATATATATATATATAATACACAAAATACGTAAATATACATCAATCATCAATACCCACGCCAAGAGAAAATCCAGAATTATGAAAGGGAAAATGATACGATCCCACCCGCGAGAATCAAACAGATCATCTTTTTTTATGAGTGTAACCATTATGATTCAAGGAAGAAGAAGCGGCAGCAGCCAAATTAGCTCTTTTTGGTTTTTCAAAAATTTGATAAACTTCATAATCTAGAATAGGTAAAGAATTTGAATTGTCCTTAGACATCCATAATATTGAACGTTTACCATGTGGAAAGGCTAGTAATCCTTCAGTACCGAAACAAGGACCATAACCGGATTTCTTGTGAATAGCGAATCTATTAAGTCTCTTTAGATCAACCTGATTACGATCAAAATTAAATATAAAACTATCAGAAGTTGAGTGATCAAATTTCCAATCTAATGGATTATAACCACCATAAAGGGCCTCCGTCATTTTAAATACTACCACGGTCTTTTGAAGGTTTCCGCATTTTAAATTGAATAGATCAGGAGAGAATCCATCACGATTTCCACGTATGATTAATTTGAATTCATAAGGAATTTCTGCTGGTAAATATGGTTTGTCTTCCCTTTTATCAATCCAGCTAGAAATCAAAGTCGCTTGACAAATATTAAGAATCGTTTCATTAAACTGTAAAGAAATAGGTGATTTGATGGAGAAAGGTGAGCACGCCTTTTTCAATTGTTGCGTTAGAACCGTATTAAACTTTTCAGCTGGTAGGAATGGTTCACATGGAATTAAAAGATCATAAAATTCATCCCAATTTAAATTCATGATGCTTTGCCACGGAATACACGGATTTAAAGATTCTTTAAATTCTTCCCAATCATCTTTTCTCCAATTTGTAACATGATTAGTTAGTCCTGGATTTTGTAATTTTGCCCAATTAACGATAAATCCCCAAAGGGTTTCGTTTAATTTTAGGCATCCAATTTCATCAAGCGACGATAAAATATGCGGATTAAAACTATCAGGTATTTCAAATATTGATAAAGGATTGGATGCTATTCTTGTAGTATAATGATTTTGTATGATATTAAAAGATTTTCTACTATACATTAATCTATGATGTGAATAAAAATTTTTATCCATCCATTCTCTTTGTTGACCAATCAAAAATTCTTGAATTTGAACCAATGCTTCCTCAAGTCCAAGATTATCTGCAGCAAAGAGCAAATCAAATGCTTGCTTTCCATCACAATTCAAGAATTCGAGTTTACCTGTGTATATGTATCTAAACGATAAAAAAAAAAAATGCCCAGATCAAATTCAAAAAATTCAAAAAAAAAAAGCGAAAATCTCGCGTAATGACTAATTGACTTACTTGAGAATGATTTCAAAAATTGCAGGAGAAATATTGTGGGTGATTACGATTTTATCATATTCTTGTTTTGCCTGGTCACTTTGTAAATATTGGTGAAAATAAGGCACTCTTGCCCGAAGAATAAGTGAATGCGCTTGAAATTCTTTAGCGTCATTACTTCCTTTATTTCCTACACGAATAATAACATCATAAAAGGCTTTAGTTTCAAAAATTTTGTTAAGATCACGCGAAAGTTTTGAAAGTAAATGAAATGTCATCTCGTTAATATAAATAAATTTAAAGAATTGAAGAGAGAAAAAAAAACAAAGATAAATAAGGAATTAGCCAACCAACACGAATTTTAATTTATATATGAATGTACGAGATTGTTGATCGTACACTTTCGGTAAAGCTTGTTCATTCGATTGACAATGAAATCATGCAACCCTATGCAGTTCAGATCATGTGATTTGCCTATAATTTGCTATTGAAAGTAGTGGCGTAATGGAAAGCGAGAATTGTTTACAGAATCACATGTCAATTCAATTCTTTTTTTTTTATAAAAAAAAAAGAATGAACCCAAATAAGGAAGGTTATATTCAGATTTTATAGTATTAGAACATGTATCTTTTGGTTTTTTTTTTCTTTTTGACCAAATTTTTTCAGGTCGTGTAACAAATAATATTATTAATGAAACATTCTCACTAATTGTTCATGAAACAATGTTTCACCCACTTGATTATACTATATATCATATTGTCAGTTAAGAATCAAACGCGCAAGGCGCACAGCAATGATGCAACGCAGTAATTTTTGGGTGAGCAGACGCGTGTTTAGTTTCTTTGTGGGGTCTTTGATAAGTAAGTACAAGAACGAAACTCGTATTTACATTTATAGAATAAAATGAAATTTTAAAAAACAGACGAGCCTTGCCTAATTTAGAAGTTATATGTTTCAAGGTTTGTATTACAGAAGATCCGTGAAAAAATGCGTAAAAAATTGGTATTTATATGATTTGCATTAAATTTACATAATTTGCATGATGTAACAACGAACTCTCTTTTTTAAGACTGGGTTGTTTAATTTTTCGTTATTAGAAAATGTCTTTCAACAATAATTTACCCAACGAATGTATCCAAAATATTTTAAGGCACGTCAAGAAAAGTGACTATAATACGTTTCATGCAGCCATTTTAATAAATCGCAAATGGTGTCAGAATGGTATTATGTTTCTTTGGCAACAACCTTTCAATATTCCTGTTAACTTTAAACATCGTTATAAATTAATTTCTATTTTTCATTATTTCTTTGATGTGAACCAAGATGAATTATATTCGACCATCGCGCCATCATTTAATTATCCTAGTTTTCTTAAAAGTCTTCATTCGGATAATTTGGCCAAGATTGTCTTGGAATGGATAGCAAAACATACTTTTAAATCAAAGAAACCAAGGAAGCAAAATCGTAGCGGACGTACAAAGTTATATCAACCAACATTCTTTACATTATATCGTAACAATAATACAAGTTCTGTTGGATCAATGATTAAATTTAATTTATTTAAAAAAATATTTAAATCAAAATTCTCATTTGATTCAAAACCTTTTCAAGAAAAATTCTCTCTAATAATTCAATCCATTTTAAATGTTGTTGCGGAAAATTGTGTAAACATTGAATGTTTACGTGTAGGTAATGAATATTCAGAATACGTGGAAGATTATTTATTAAAACACGAATGTTTTAAACATTTAACCACTTTCAAATGTCATCAACCGAACATTGACCCCACGATATTCCTTCGATTTTCCAATTATATGCAAAACATCAACACCTTATCCATCACCATATCGAATAATAACATATTTGATGATTGTAAACTTAAAGAATTGGTTCATCTGATAGATTCTCAAAGACACCTTCAATCGCTTAGCATTAGAAATCAATATAACGCGGACATGTCCTTATTATTTGAGGCCATGTCAAGAAAGTCAAATACATTACGAAAGCTTGAATTAATTTCGCATAGAAATCTCAAGCACGATGAGGCAAAACATTTATCACATTGTGTCAATTTAAATGAATTATCAATTTATGGCGTTAGAATTTGTCAAGAATTAGATCCTTTATTATTTAATTCTAAATTTTATCATCTTAAAGTTCTCAAGTTCGTGGAGACGAGTTGGTTTTATGAATCATCATCATCATCTCCTTTTATTTCAATGATTACAAATAATGGTGCTCTATTAAATCGTCTTCATTTAGATTTAGATTTAAAGCATAATTTAAACCTATTAAGGACAATTTCAAGATGTTGTTTAAACCTTTCCACTTTTATTATTACTATAAACGAAGGTGAAATGTTTCGTTTACTTTATCCTATATTTAAGAATTGTAAAAATTTAAAATCGATTCATATTTATAAAATTCATAAAGATGGGATAACTGAAAAAATCTTGACGGATTTTATTAATCATCTTTCAATCAATTTATCTTCTTTAGTTTTAAACAAGATCAAATTTTTTTTAAAAGATTATCACGGTGATGAAATTGGTAAACAAGTTCTTTTAGTTCAATTAAATAGATACTTTATTCAATCATCATTGTAACATATAATAAATTACAATTAATAATGATGATGTTGATATCATACTTCAAATTCCAGACGAACAGATTGGGGAATGATTTAAAATTTTTATTTTTTACGTCAGGGCTTTAATAAAAGGAGTGCTTTAATTAATTGTGAAAACAAAAAAAAAAAAAAAATGTGAACCTTATTGATCTCAATGTAACGTCAATGATAGAGATAATGCGAGTGATGTTAGATGGATCAAGATCTTTAGATCTAATTTCTGATTTAGGATAATTTTTTCTTGAATTTGATCGTCATTTTATATTAACCTTCAAAAATAAAGTTGTTGCGTTACCACCGAATTATGGCACGAGCTTCCACGTTGAAGTTTGTTGTACAATGATCATTATGTGATCATTTTGAGAGCATTGTGTGATCAGAAATATGAAATAATGAGAAAAAAAATATTTATATAAGGGACGAGACGATTATGAATTTTACAAATTTATGCGTTGTAATGGTATTGGAGAATGAAGGCATAAAAAAAAAAAAAAAAGTCTAAAAACCAAAAAAAAGTTTACATATTTAACAATATACAAGTTACGAACTTTCTTCAATTGATAACCTCTTATAAACCGAAAATTTTTCATACGTTGCTTATAAGATCCATTAAAATAATGTCCTCAACGAATAAATGCTTGATAGATATTTCACAAACAAGATATTCCAAAAATGAATCACAAATGGGTGATGATTTATGTAAAAGATTTTAATAGAAATGTGAAAAGGAATTGGATATTTGAAATTATCGAAAATGGAAAAAGAAATGAAAAGAATTTTGTTCCTTTTGAATTTAATCTTGTAGATGATAAAGGATGGAAAAATTACAGAACGGACGTTGATGATACAGTTGCACAATGTGGTTTGGGATCTATTTTTAGATTCTATTGGATATTTAAAAAGATTTTTCATAAAAAATTTTAATGTAACTTGATTAAATTGATTGATTTTTTTTTAAACCGTTGTCAGCCACGAATTCAAAATATAAGCCTCATGGATATTTTAGGCATCAAAAAATTTTCTTAAAAAACAATCCATGTCAAATTTCGAGGAAAGGTCAAATTACGGAAAATATCACCGAGCAAAGGTAGCAGAAATCGATATAGAATGGAAACGATTATTAGATTAGAAATCAAAGACTTGAACAAAATTAAGATCAAAGTTGTTTTTATGTGTATTGGAATCATAGTCTTTAGTGTGGGAATAGTTTTAATAATATCATATTGATGTGATGTTAGTTAAAATGATATTTCAACGCTTCCAATCATATACATTGGCTGAAATCATTTCTAGATCTCGTTATTATTTTCCCGGTTATTATGAAGTGCAGGAACTCTGATATGGCACACTTGTCACGACGGTTGATAACCTTGAAGGGTGGCAATTTTATTTTCATGGATTGGTCCTTTATAACTCGACTCGATTTACAACCATACATCGCCATCCATGATTGTGAATATAAAATTTCTTGGACTTTATTATTTAATGGAAACATATATAGAAAATGTAGATTTCATAAGTTGCTTATTGACTTTTTTTGGTTTCACCTTTTTCCCTTTTGATAATTCTTACGCTTCTTATGGTTATACCATTATGCCTGATGTTTACAAGGTGAGAGATAATACTAAAGAAAAAAAATCTTTTTCCCTCTTTTTTTTTAAAAAAAAAAAAAAAACTTAATATTATCCATTTTATTTATTACATTGTTAAGGAACATTGTAGTTTATGAAAATGCACCATTTCTTCCTATTATACGCCGCACCGATTATTATAGTTTTCTGACCGATAAAAATTTCAGAATTTCAAAAAAAAAAAAAAAAAAAAAAATAGCTTTCTTTTCTTACAAAATATATTTTAAACATAAAAAATAAATATATTACAAGTGAGATTTTGTGCTTACCCATTTTCGACATTCTGATTGGGGAACATAACGCCTTTATTTACTTTTATTTATGATACAAAGGCGGAAGATTTAGAATATTCTGTATTTTGCACAACAATAATCTATAATAATCTATAATCTATTTTCGGTAATAACAGATATAAAACTGAACAAATACCCCTTTAAAAAAAAAAAAAAAAAGGGCGAAAAAAAGAAAACTATTCATATGATTTCCTCGAGGTGATGATCATCATCAAAACAATTTCACCTTTTTCTTTATTTATTTTTTTGAACATCACAATAAATTTGAAAACCCCAAAAGAAAGATGCGAGAATACACATAAAGTTTTGCCAAAGAAACATGTGACATGTGATAGCATTTATGAACTGTGGGATATCAAAAAAAATTGACATAATTTGACATAATTTTCAAATGCACAAAGAAGGTAACGGAAATTTGATTTTACCGCACCTTTATCTTTATCAGATTATTTTAATATGGTTACTGAAAAAAAAAAAAAAAGGCTTTGTTTAAGTCTATATAGATCGGCATTTAGAATAACAACAATTAAGTTACGGAGATTGACAAATCGTCATTTATTTATTTTTTTTTTTTTAAAGTTTGCAAGATAATCGAAGAATTTACTAAAAATTAAAATATTATAGTATCAAAATATAGATATGATTGTTCTTTCAATGGAGAAGTCATTGTTTTAAACAAGTATAATAAAACTTTAATCTAAGCTTAATTTGACAGTTTATTTTTTTTTATAAAATAAAAAAATTTTTCAACTGCAAGAAATGCATTATTGCCCCACTATCATCCCCCACGAAAAAAAATTTTTTGTGTACGATCTGCATGCAGGTAATGCGCCTTAACGCACATACTAAATCTAATTTAAAAAGAAGAAAAAGAAAAAAAAATTTCTTAAGAGGCTGCGGTAACTGCGTCACGCATCAACAATGGGCACATCATAAAACTATTTTTTTTGCTGTAAGGGAATTAATGCTGCAAGATGTTAGTCAGGTGATTGCTTAAACACTAAACCAAAGGCGCATCAACGAAGATATGCAGGCGTAAAAATAATAAATATGGAAAAATTAGAAACTATCTCCAATAATTTAATTATTATTCTATTCAATTATTTACCATATAAAAATATAATTTGTAAATCAATAATAGTAGTTGGAAATTCGAGAAAAAAAAAAATTTTTTTTTTTTTTTTTTTTTTTGTTTTTAATTTTGGTTTATAAATTTATTTCTCTCTCTCTCTCTCTCTCCCTCCCTTCCCATAATAGAATGTTTAAGAGTTTTTTTATATTCACTTTAAAATATTTTTTTTTTTCAAAAACGCTGACAATGTTGTATAGAATAATAATCTTTCTCATACATTATTATTTACAATTCTATGATAATTTAACAAATTTCTTGTTTATATATTATATGGCAATGAGATTCCGTATCGAACATTTGAGTCGGAGTTTCTTCTTTCGAACAAATCGTTCACAACAATTACCTCCCGAATGTCTCGTGGGGGTATTTGAACTTTTAGAAAATGATATTTCTGCGCTTCATTCTTGCATCCGGGTAAATCGAAATTGGTGTTGTCTCGCCGTCCCCGTCCTTTGGAGACGTCCGTTTGAACACGTGCATTCAGAGAATTCTGGATCGCTCGCAATCGGGACGTACATCAGCTGTCTCCCAAATGATGACAAGCAACGGTTAAAAAGTCGTTACGTGACAATACCTACTCAACTAGGTCAACCAATTTTTTTTTATCCAAAGTTTCTTCAAGGGTTTGATTGTGATAATTTCATATCATCCGTGCGCGCTTGGATAAGCGGTGATCCGGAACCTGAGTTGATTCAACTCACGGCTCGGCTGATTGGAAATATGATCTTTCGTAGATCACGCGGGTTAAAAAATCTCAGGTACCTACGTAAAGAGGTACCTGATGACATGACTTTGGTAGATTTCTTGACATACACGGAAGTGATTAGAGCGTTAACCAGATTACAGAAGTTTGAATTTCGTAGTTCACACGTGGCGGATAGGGATTTTACGCGCGCGTGGCTCAACCTTTTCTCCAAAGCTTCCACATCATCGAAAAATTTACGACACATAACCGTTCACATCAAAAAGAGAAATCGTGACGCTTATCTAGAACTCGATCATTCAATAACGGATTTAATAGGGGTACAAAAATGTGTGCAAAGCATCTCGGTGAATTCATTCTGGAGCACTTCAAACTCACAATCAATATATCAAGCCATGTTACGACATTCGCGTTCACTGAATTATTTGAGGATACAAGGTTTATCGGATTTACCCTTGTTGCTTCAAGTGTTGAGATCTTGCAGAAATTTAAAAACGTTAGAATTTGCTCAAAGTTGGATTAGAGATGATAATTTCACGATAATACCTTCAACGCACACGTTAAGCATTCAACACCTTTATTATTATTTTGATTATGGACCTTTGAATTTTATAAATGAGCTATTACGAATGTCAAGTCACAATTTAAAATCATTTTCAAGCAAACAATTCACACCTTTAATCATAACAACTATTCGTAATTACTGTCCAAACATCACACATTTATGTGTCAGATTAATACCTTCCGATTTTACATTATTTGAACAATTATTGAACACTTTACAACTTGAACATTTAACAATACAAACACCTTATAATCAACCTCGATTTACTTATGAACAAATCATAAGATTAGCCTTAACGTTACCCGAGTCTTGTACGTATCTTGGTGTGGATTTTGATATTTATCCTTACGAATTAGACGTATTCTTGACGAGATGTAACGCTAAACTAAAAATCCTCACACTGCATAATACATCAAAAGGTCCCTTTGAATATATGGACGTCATTACAAGGCATGCGAGTAGTTTAAGTTTAAGAGAGGTTAGATTACAAAGAAACAGTTCCAATATATACATGACCGAATATCGATATAAAAAATGGTTAAATGAAGAAATATATCTAAAATATGTAAAGCATAGGTATAATAATAATTTACTCCCAAAAATATCTGAAGCAAAACCAATATCATTTAGTTATCATGGTAAGCTTTTTCCTCGATGCTATTTATTTTTGATATTGACATTAAAACGCACTTTTCATTAATTTTTTTTTTTTTTTTTTTTTTTTTTTTTTTTTAGAGACAATATTTAATACCAACTTTTTAATGTAAACATTATAAAAATTATTTAGAATATAGATAATAATATTATCCTCTTTTAGAAAGTACATTATAAATATAAACTTAGATTGTATGTATGTATTGAACTCTCTTATATAATTCTTATTGTATATTTTTTTTTATCTGTTTCACTTCAACTTTGTAAATAATATAAAATAATAAATATAATTTTTTTCAAATGATTTGTCATTAATTTGAACTCATAATTTTTTTCTTTTTTTTTTTAATGAACAAAAAGTGATTAAAGAGTCCAAGCATGCATTTATAAATTTCAAGATTTCGTTTGTTCGTGCGACTTTCTGTGTAACACTGCATCGTTTACTGAAATTAATTACCGAACCTTTCTCCTTGACAAATGTGAACGTTTTCATTCTGCATTAATGTGGATCATTATACAGACAATTTTATTATTAAAAAAAAAAAATTTTTATAGAATTAGTTATCATCACGGATACATACGGAAATTAAAATTACTACCTAATTGTAATTTGCAAATAGTAATATAATGTAGAAAGTTGGCAACTCTTTCTCATCATCCAAATAATTAAATAGCTATAATTAGTAAATGTACTAAATCAACTCACCTTAAGAATCTAAATATCTTTTAATAGTGAGGGGTAAATATTCTATTTAATTTTTAGATGATTTTGTTCTTTAAGGCAATCTGATGGATCAAGCGTAAGTTGCTTGTGAAATTATGTGAGATTTGTAATTGAATACATTTTTATATTAGATCAAAGGAATTGTTGCATTAAAAAAAAATTCGAATTGCGAAACCGACGCATCCATAATTGGTTAAGGATCAAAATTTTCTACTTTCCTTGTCTTGATTTAAATGATAAGACTTAATCTACTAACTTTCTTAAGAGTTAACTACTGAGCAAAACTTACCGTATCATAATTGAATAAATCTTTAAATTCTTAAATTTTAATAAAGCTCTTAACAAATTGATCAGTTAGCAAATGTTTCCGGCTTTAGTCTCTTATCCTATACCCCTATATAAATAAAATAAGAATCACGTGTTAAAT